TATCATATACTACAAAACTTGACACCGTACACTTGTGGTAAAATCATGTTACATAAAACGCGTGGCAGAGAGCATGTAGAATACTAAATAGGATTCCTTCTAAAATTATAAAGGTTTCTCCTTACGAATTATGGAAAGGAAGAAAACCTAACATTGGATACTTCAAAGTGTGGATTGTCTTGCTTATTGTAAGAATACAAATCCGAATAGGACCAAGTTGGGTCCAAGAGAGATTAAGTGTGTCTTTATTGGATATGCTAGTAATAGCAAATCATATATATTGCTAAAGTTGGAGACAATGTGACTATTGAATCCAGTGACGTAGAGTTCTTTGAGAATTCACTATCTTCGGATAATGAATTAAGGAAAATTCATAAGGAATTCCAAACTCTAATGAAACACAAGATGAAATATCTTCTAAAAATGTTAATGAATTTAGTGAACCCCAAAGAAGTAAAGGAACTCGAATTGAGAAGGGCTATTGGGCCAGGTGAAATTGACTATTAACTTATTTTGTTTTACGTACTAGAGGAAAGTAAGAAGAATGTTGTGAGAACAATTCATTTTGTTCTACAATTAAAAATCTATCCTAAAACTTATAGAAAGGCTATGGCTTCTCGTGATAGCATATTTTGGAAAGAAGCAATCAAAGATGAGATGTATTTAATTATGTCAAATAATACATGGAAACTTGTCGATTTATCACCCGGATCTAAACCTATGGATGTAAATGGGTGTTCAGGGGAAAGTATAATGTTGATGGTTCTCTTAATACCTTTAAAGCTGAATGGTAGCTAAAAGTTATCGACAAAATGAAGGAATAGACTATTTTGATTCTTATGCACCGGTAGTTAGAATAACATCAATTAAGATATTATTTGCATTGATTTTGATACATGACTTGTATGTTAATCAAATGAATGTCAAGACGGCATTCTAAAATGAGGATCACGATGAGGAGGTTTATATGGAACAACTCGAAAGGTTTGCTCTACTCGAAAATGAACACAAGATGTGCAAGTTGGTGAAGTCATTATACGGTTTGAAGCAATCACCTAAGAAGTGGTATGAAAAATTTGACTTAACTATAATATCATTTGATTTTAAACATAATAGTATAGATAAATGTTTGTATTCTAAATTACGTGATGATTATGTGATATTTATTCGTTTGTATGTTGATGACGTGCTAATTATAAGTAATTACATGAATGGATTAGAACAAACAAAGAGGTTCTATCTTCTACATTCAAAATGAAAGATTTTGGACAGGTGAATACCATTTTGTGTATCAAAGTTACTAAAACTAGTGGGTTATAATTTAAGTCAATCACATTAAATTGAGAATGTGATAAATAAGTCAAACATTTGAACATAAAATAATATAATACCCCTATTGATCCAAGTTTGAAACTTATAAAGAATGATGAAAGGACAATTGCTCAATTGAAGTACGCAAGTGTTATAGAGAGTCTAATGTGTGCAGTTCAATGCACAAGATCAAACATAGCATTTACAATTAGTAAACTTGGTAGGCTTACTAGTAATACAAGCAATGAATATTGTAGGACCGTTAGAAGAGTTCTTGGATACTTAAAGAAAATCAAGAATTTAGGTCTAAAATATACAAGATTCTCTATTATATTAGAAGGATTTACAGATGCTAATTGGATATCTAGCACGAGAGAAAGTAAATCCACTTCAAGTTAGGTATTTACACTCGGAGGAAGATCTGTTTCTTGGAAATCAAATAAACAGACATGTATAACACATTCGACTATGAAATCTAAATTTGTAGCACTATCGAAAATCGAAAAAGATGCTAAGTGGCTTAAGGATCTGCTATATGAGATACTTTTGGGATCGAATAACACATTTTCAACACCTATCATGTGTGATAGTCAAGCCATATTGGCAAAAGAATACAACGAAAAGTCTAGAAGTATGAGACTTAGACATGACTATATAAGAAAATTAACAAAACTGGATAATTTCCCTAAATTATGTAAGCCAATTGAAAATTTAGCCGATCCTTTAACTAAACCTCTAAATAGAGATTTAGTAACTTCTACTTCAAGTAGGATGTGATTGAAACTTTTAAAATAAAAAGGTTCACTAATGATGACAACACTACATGTCAATGCTTAATAAGTAATTCACGAGTTCAAATGATAATAACAAATCATTCGACATGTAGATAGTCTCACCATTATAAATCCGCAATAACTCTATCCTAGTTAAATAATGCTAGTTGTTACTGAAAAGAGGGTTGAGCTTCAAGCTTTTAATGAAGTTCAGTACTAATTACAAGTTTCTCTAAAAGTAACAAAGATACTAAAAGAATTTCACCTAGATAAACTTTGAGGTGGATTCGCCTCAATAGAGAGTTAGAGTTTCTCTCGTAAAAGTTTGTTAGAAAAGGATAAATGCAAGATCATATTAGCATTGAGTGAGATTGAGGAACTTGGGAACTCATGATACTAGTGTGTGTTCTTATTGGTTTAGTCATATGGAATAATTGGTTCGAACCTTTGTACTACATTTGATTCAACTATACTTTGTTGGAAATACACTATAGTTAGATCCAAATCGAAAAATATCTAATCCTTACGCAGGAGTATTACAAATTTTGAATATTAGATCTTATTGAATGTTGAACAAGTTAGGAATTGTTGTAATTTGTTCAAAATCAATAAAATGAGTGTGGAATGAAAAATGGAATAAAGGCTAAAACAAATAATTATGCGACCGCATAGACCATTTCAACCTGCGGTTGCACAGGGCCTAGAACTAACTATGCGGTCGCATAGTTTTGGCTTATGTGACCACACAGTGTTAAATAACAGCCGTTTATGGTCGTTTTTGTTTGAATTTTGATGACTTTTCACCTTATTTTGGCATCATTTCGTGGAATCTTGATGAGCCCTATAAATAGGTGATTCACTTTCATTACAACACACTTGAAAAACCAATTTTGACAATTACATTTCCATTCCCTCTTTGTGCAAACAATATTTTCCAACAAAGGGTGCATCTATAGAGGTCTCTAGCTTCATGGCGAAGCAGGCTTTAAATGAATTCTTTTATTTATTTTCAGCAGAAAATAAAAAATTCTAAAATTTCCAAAGAGCTGCCCCAATAATTCCCCGACTATCGAAGCAAAGTTGTTTTATTTATTGGGTGAACTGAACATAAACAAAAACATTATTTGATGCTAACAACCAATCAATTGAAACCAAACCTTTTCCCTGCCGACATATATTTCGTACAACAATTCCTATGTTAATATTTGGACTCATTGTACTTTGACTAATCTGCATATTAGGTGGAGGATTCCCCCCCCCCCCCCCTAATCTGCATATTAGGTGGAGATTTTTTTTTCTCATCGATATATCTATAAACCCGCAACTAATCGTCTCCCACTCGACCCTCTTGCACTCATTCTATCTCATTTCGACAATTAATTGATTATCAAAGTACAAATAATCTCCAAATTTTTTTCGAGACAATAATCTTTGTATTCTAAAGGTGTGTTCCAAAGTACAAGTGACGCCTTAATTGATAGGGAGGTGATAGGAATTCTATTAACCACTTGATCGAACAGATGTTCAGGTCAACACCAACTAAAGTTTAATCCAAAATGTTTAGAATTATATAAGTTTTACAATATCTTATATAACCGTTCCTCGGAATAAGAATAAGAAAACAAAAATAAAACAAAACCAGACAATTACGTTATGTACGAGGTTAATTTAAAAACATAATTAGCGTACTAATTACTCCTTTTTAAATCATAATCGGTGTTCTCTTTTTCAATTAGAATTAGGAAAAGGGCCTAGTCTGTACAGATAAGATCAAAAACTTTTGTTAGTTTGGGACCACAATCGCATTACAGCAGCAATGGACTTTCCTTGTAGACCCTGGCTACAGAGAAATGACTAATTCAATATTTATTGTATCTGGACCTTTTCTTTGCAGTACAAAAAATGTTGCATTGGTAATATTGACTTTAATTTTGAAAAAAATTAATTAATTATTAGGGTCAAACTAGATAATTTTTTTTAAAGCAATGGACAAGTTAAGATTGACATTCACGACCACCTAAATTCGTACTAAGCACAAGAAATGCTAGATAGCATTACTATATGAGAATTATTAAACTATTCTTAATTAAGATTATGGTCCAACAGCGTTGAAATAATGAGATCTACCGATTGAACGTCAAATTGATACTCCGATGATTCGTCCGAATCAAAAATCTGATCAAGTTCGATGACTACAGCTAAAACAATAAAACAAAATGGGTAGCATATAAATAATTGAGCGACATTCCTAAAACTTGCAAGGAACAAAAATTTTAATTCATCAAGCTCTCGTTTGAACCTCTTTCTTTAGAACTTATTTTGAAATTTATATTTTCTCTATAAAATAAATTTGTACATAATTATTATTATTTTTTTTAACAATGCGTTCTCTAAAATATCAGTTCTTATAAAATTTACTCTATGAAATTGTTCATAAAGAACATTATAAAAGAATGATGTTATTTGTTTCAATTTTTTTTTTACAAATTGTTTGATAGACGCTAATATAACATGCATTTCGATTCTTGATTTGACTAAATGGTCAAATACATGCCATCCCAGCATATATCAACAAATGTGTGAAAATATATATAATCACTCCACACTAATATCTCATACGACACAAATATTACGTGATAGAATTTCATTGTACTGTTTAAAGAAGTCAATAATGTTGTCCACTCATTTTTTTTTTTTGCCCATTTTTTTTTTTTTTTTTTTTTTTGCACATCTTTTTCTGTCAATGAAGCTGTCAAATTTATCCGGTTTAATTCTCACACGCATACAGATATATATATACATATGCCACTGACAGTTTGTCCTTTTGATATATATATATATATATATGCCACTGACAGTTTGTCCTTTTGCCCTTTTGATTAGGCATAACCCTTCTCTTTCTCTCTGTAATGTTTTCTTGAGCTGCTGTCCCCACAGACATCTTCCAGCCAATCATTTCTCGACACCATTTTTTGTGTTAGAACTCTCTTCTTCTGTTATATCACTCTGTGTTTTCTACGGCCTCAAAGATCATTCTCTTTTAACAAACATAACTGAAATAACATGGATCATTCATTTGTAAACTCAGTAACGGGATTGCCTTTTATCATTTTTCCTTAATCTCTCTGCATATGTGTGTGTATATACACACATCTGTGTATCTATCTCTTTCTCTCTCTAGTCAAGTAAAGCAACTACAAATTTCTGTCTCTGTGTTCAAGAATTTCAAATCCCCCATCATCCCCAAGTTAGATCCATCCACTTTTTGTAACAAATTCTTGAATTTTCTTTGGGTTTCGGAAATTATGTAGTCTTTTCTTGATTCTTCACCTCCTGTCAATTTTTGTTGATTATTAGTAATTTTTTTATACTGTTCAGTACTATACAGTTCTCTCAAGTAGACAAGCCATCAGATTCCATTCCAATGCTTCTTGATCTAATGCTTATTCCTTCATAAGAAACTTACACCTTCTATATATTTCCTCTCCATTTATTCAAGTCTTTTAGCTAGTTGCTACCTAGGTTTTCCAGAAATTTTGACTATTTCATTTCCAGCTACAATGAACAGAGGAATAGGGTTTCAATCTCCTGCGTCATATATGAGTACATCAAATTGGTTGTTCCAGGAAAGTGTGGCGACAAAGTGGACTCCTGAAGAGAACAAAAGGTTTGAGAATGCTCTTGCATTATTCGACAAAAATACTCCAGACAGATGGAACAATGTGGCAGCTATGATCCCGGGAAAGACTGTAAGTGATGTGATCAAACAGTATATGGAATTGGTAGAAGATGTTAATGATATAGAAGCTGGGATAATACCAATACCTGGGTACAACAATAATTCTTTCACATTGGATTGGGTGAATAACCAATGTTATGATGGATACAGATCTCCCTGTGGTTCGGCCGGTAGTCGGCACTCATCCACTCGGTTGTCTGAACACGAAAGGAAAAAGGGTGTACCATGGACGGAAGAAGAGCACAGGTACCCCCTCACCTAAACCTTAAACTGTTAGAGATAGACATTATTTTTTTTTAAAATTTTATCTTCAACTCGTCCCATGTCATATTTTTTAATTAAAGAACTGATACGTTCACGATTTTCATGATTGGACAGCAACCAAAATTGAACTCAGGACCTTTGTTCGCTTGTTCTAATACCATAAAGAACCACCTCAGTCTGATCTATTCCTTTGTAATAGCGTACTATTTGAACTATCACTATAGTTTACCACTGGTTATAGTTTAAAAATCTTCACACTATAGTAACTTAACTTTAGGAGAATTTAAAAGTAAAATGAAGTGCCTTTTACTGTTCATCTTATAGTCAATTCTCCCAGACACTCGAAGATTGTGTTACAAATTTGTAGTTATTCAGTGGACGTGGTAAAGTATGTTGTTATATCTTCTTTGAAACAATTGTTTTTAAATATTTAGCTTGTTTGGAAACATTGAATAGCACTAGACGATGTTAATAAATTTTGTTCATTTTATCGAGTCGAGTTCAGTACTTTTAAAAAAAACATGCATGTCATGGTCCTTCGTATGTTATACTTTTCCTTCTAGTGATGATGTTATCTATTGATGGTAATACCTCAGGCAATTTCTGTTGGGGCTGAAAAAATATGGAAAAGGAGACTGGAGAAATATCTCGCGCAACTTTGTGACGACGAGGACTCCAACTCAGGTTGCTAGTCATGCTCAGAAGTACTTTATCAGGCAGCTTTCTGGAGGGAAGGATAAGAAAAGATCAAGTATACATGATATCACAACTGTCGATCTTACAGAAATGAAATCGCCTTCATCAGACAAAGATAGACCTCAATCACCAGATAAATCTACCTTTGTTATGCATTTTCAACAGAATTCAGTCTGTAATCAGCCAAATCAAGGTGCAAGAACGGCGTTCAACCTACCAAATAGTAGCCTGATCACGACGCATCTTCGAGGTACTCCTTCATTTGCAGTACTAAATCCGCATAACCGTCACATGCAAAGTATTAGTCCTCATGTACTCGAGTTGGGACATCCTGATACAATTTTTCAAATGCAGCCCTCCCCACATAAGTGATTTCACAATGCCGCTAGAAATCAAGTAGAGAGTTATTCGACGTCATGTGAATGTGTTAATGAAGGCTAAAGTTAGCCGATGTTATTCGGAAACTATCACAAGACTCAAACATGTTAGCAAGTGTACTCAGGATGCGTTTGGTATGCAACATGATTGGACAATACAATGAACAAGATTTTAGAAAATTAAGATTGTGTTTTGTAAATAGCACTTTTCAACGAAAGGTTCATTCCGGTGATAAGGAATTGTACTATGGCTAGATGCTGCATTAAGAGGGATACATTGTCAAGGATAGTTTACTTTAAGCACACAAGGTAAATGAAAATTTGGCTAGGAAAAGGTTCTTTGGAAATGAGTTTAGAGGACAGAAAAGGTGTATAAAAAGCTTCAAGAAATGTCTTACATATCATTTTCAGTATATCTATTGCAAATAATAGAAGTACAAGTTGTCTACCTAGAAAGTTTATTGTACTTCCTACCTATCTTCAAGATCTCAGTGTGTTATTAGTCTTTTGGTACTAAATCATTTGTGCTAGTCTTCCACTGTTTTGTGTTAAATGAGTGGTGATGAGATGTGAAACCACGTCATACTACATTAGGTCACATTTGGTATGAATTTTGCTTTTGCTTATTGTAGAAGAATTTTTAGATGAAACTACCTTAATTTTTGTTTTAAAATTAATTTTTAAAAGCACTTCTTATTTCAAAAGTACTTATAGAGGAAGCCACATTATATCAGTTTCCTTTAAAAGTTTTTCTAATCGGCAAAAGTACTTTCATAAAATTAACCAAACGAGTCCAAAGGCTACTTTTGATTCTCAAAAGCTGATTTTGACTTTTCAAAAGCCATGCCAAACGGGCCCTGAACTATCTCATTTGGGAGTTATTTATTTAATTAGATTTAGTTTTCATGATGAAGGATTTGACTACAAACATACAGAAATTTTTGTGTTCTTGGATGGGGAATTGTGAATACAAGTAAAGATAAATTTGCTGGGACGAATTGGCCTATTGCCAGATGCTTAATACGAACTTACTGAGTCACTATGCACAAACTGAGGCAACATTGTACAGACACGCTACTTTTCCCATGTTTCCAATTTAGCAAGAAAATGATTTTTCACTTCCATAATACTAACTCATCTGACTATTTGAGCAACATATTTGTCAGTGTCCACTTTCCATTTTAGATCTGTTAGAATATTCGAACCAACGCTATGTTAGTGCTGGTCAATCTCTTTCTTTTCTACTGAAATCGTGTCACTCTTAAATTTTGTAAATTGTAGAACTTGCCACTGTTGCATAAAATGTACTCTGTTAAATATTCGTACCACTTTCTCTTGTTTGTTTGCAAACTGGTGGTATATGTAACTTTTACTGTTGCTAGGATAGTCATGAAAAGCTTGATTGTCCACCTACATTATTTTTACTCAATATTTTTGGTCCCACCCACTAGCTAAAGAACTTAAATTTAAGGCAATAAGAAACTTTTTGGTAAATGACAAACTAACCCCCCCCCTCCCCCCAACTGTTTCTTTTCAAAGAATCACTTTTTTTCAAGTTGCATATTGGATCGATTTACTACTTTATTTTGGTGTGAGACACAACACTCCACTCCTTAAGTTATATTTAAACCACACACCTAATATCACCACCTAAAACTTTTGGTTTGTATTCTTTATTCCTTTCTTGCTAGATTCTGATACCTTGCTTCAGAATGATCTTAAATTTGATGCACAATTTACTATATCCTTGTAGGATAAAGTAAAAGTTCTTTGTTCTTTATAGATATGAATCAATTTTCATTATTCCATGTGATTTATGGTTCTATATATTAAAAGATTTAAAATAACAAGATTTTTAATGACGATAATGGACTGTTAATTTTGGTCTATCCTTCCCTCTTTTAACGTGTTTTAAAAAAATATATTCGTCAATCCATGTTTAGAAATGTTGTGTCTTTGCACAGGTACGTGCATGCACACATTTATGAACGACTGTTGTAAATATTGATTGAACTTACAACTAAATACCAAATGCAATGCATTGTTCATGTAGGAACAAGGTTCAAGTCTATCGGTCTGTTAGGATACCCAGCTGCATACATCACTGCCCTTTCACTTGATGTCTATCGTAATGATAAAGGGCTACAGCCAAAGATCAGTTGGAGGTGTATAAAGGTTGTTAATAAATTAAAGGGAAAATTGCAGTCGAGGTACCAAACCTTTCGTTTATTAGCAGATTTTGTCCAAACCTTTAGTTTGTGCCACCGGAGGTACCAAACCTTTCAAAAATCCGGCACCCGAAGTCTAAATGGATGGAAACCGTCCATTTGACCTTTAGTTGACCAATAAAATTAAACATTGACCAATTTTTGACCAATTGAAAAGAATAAAAAGGTAAAAGTTACTTAACCCTATAATAAAACAATTAAAATAAATAACTAAAACATAAAAAAAATAATAAAATAAATTACTATTCATCTTCTTCTTCTTCACCCACCCTACCCCCACCCGCACGCCACCCGCACGCCACCCCATCCAAAACCAAAAATAGAAATTAAACAGCCGCCTTCTTCTTCAACCTCCCCACCCACCCCACTGGCTCCTGCCTAGTTAGCAATTCAAGAATCACAACCCCAAATGCGTAAACGTCGGATTTCTAGTGATTGTCTTTTACTCTAAAAATCCTCCTGAGCCTCCTCAACTTGAAAAAGAACCCCATTTCATCTCTCCACCTGTTTGACTCGACGACTCACCACCCGAGTTACACCCACACTGACGCCGTTTTGTACCACATCCTCCATCGCCTCTCCCTTTCGATCGATTCGAAACTCCTCCCTCACGTGACACGGATAGTTGATTTGATCCGAACGCAGAAATGTCCCTGCTTGGAAGACACGGTCCTGGTTGTTATGAAAGCTTACTCGAAAAATTCAATGGTAGACAAAGCAATGGAACTCTTCCAGAAAATGAGGGAAATTTTCGGGTGTGAACCCGGGGTGAGGTCTTATAATACTCTGCTGAATGCATTTGTGGTTTCGAATCAATTGAGTAAAGCCGAGTTGTTCTTTAGGAATTTTGAGACAATGGGTGTTGCACCAAATTTAGAAACTTCAGGGGCGCGTCAAAGAAAAAGACAATCACCATTGTTGAGGGGAAGGGGACTCCGGCAGCTGGTGCTACAATGGTCGGAGAGAGAAATGAATTGAGGAGTCAAGTTGGCCGAAGATTTTGGTGGCAACCGCCCATGGAATCGAGGTTGGGTGTGGTGCCGTGGGGTGGGGTGGGGTGAAGATGAAGATGAACAGTATTCCCTTTCTTTTCTTTGATTTTTATTTATTTTGTTTTTAGTTTTCTATTGTTATTATTAATTATTTTAATTAAGAAAAAATGCAAAGTACCACTTTGCCCTTTTTAATTTGGTCCAAATTGGTTAAATTTTGACTTTTCTAGTCAACTAACAGTTAAACGGAAGTTTTCATCCATTTGAACCCCCGGTGCATATTTTTTAAAGGTTTGGTACCTCCAGTGACACAAACTAAAGGTTTGGACAAAATCTGCTAATAAACGAAAGGTTAGATACCTCGAATGCAATTTTCCCTAAATTAAATGCCCGTCCTATTTGTCGTTTGAATATCAACCTATAACAAAGCCATAGGAACGTAAATGACAAACATGACTCCAAATGTAGTTTCAAAGTTGAAATCCTAACAGCTCCTCCATCTATGCCCTACTGGTTCGTGCAGCACCGTCTAAGGAAAAAATCACAGGTTCCACAAGTCGATCTACCTTTCTTTATCTGAAGTTTTTCGAGTATTTGAGTCAATCGGATGCCTGGACCACCAAGATTATTGTTATTGATTAGCAATGAGGCATAAAATTCAGCTTAGCATTATAGCATGTACATAACTAATGAGAACATGGAATTAAGGTTCTCTCAAGTTCTGAAAGTTCACCATGAAATTTATAGTAAGCAATAGAGAATTCACCTAAGCGCATGTATGTACAGTTTTGAATTATAAATGAAGAATGAGACCTCTTTATTAAGAAACCTTATATGCATAAGTTGCTTTCACTAAGTACCAAGGGCAGAACGATTCATGTAAAGTAGAAACAAACCATGCCAATATTCTTTCTTTTTTTCCTTAAAATTGCTCTGAAATTACATCTAAATCAATCCAATGAATCAATAAGACCATGGTAGACCAATCTTTAAGGTCACTATGTTACAATCCAGCATGTCTGATTTTGGATAAAATGTTCACAATCGAGCAAATAGAATGCATAACTTATAATTCAATTGCAGGGGCCTGGGGCTGGAACATCCGCTTAAACAACCACTGGAGTGGCCGCAAAAACTGGGCTCTCTTCTTCCGCCAGAACCAAATTGCAGCATTATATTGTTCGTTACGTATCTTCCGAGTGGCAGCCCTCCAATCATACTTCTCCATTTCAACACGTGCTGCTTTGCCAATAGTTTCTCGAAGCTCTTGATCGTGTAAAAGGGGTTTCAGTTTGTTCAAGCAGTCGTCAAGATCTCCAGGATTGAACAAATAACCAGTTTTACCCTGCTGTTCTTCAGGAATAATATCCGGTATTCCTCCAGCACGAGCAGCCACCACGGGAAGTCCTGATGACATGGCTTCCAATACGACAAGCCCGAGGGTCTCGGATTCGGAAGGCATAACAAAAACATCTCCACTAGCATATGCCTGCGAGAGCTCTTCTCCTTGTAACATTCCTGTGAATAGTGCAGGCATGCCAGAGAACATTCTCTCCAGTTCCTCTCTAACAGAAAGAAACAACATGAAGTTAAATACATTTGTGGGTCATCTTTAGTCTGAACAAATACTAGGACATCCGTTACTCTTTTATGCTTCTCCTATTCTCAAGCATAAAAAAACACTCATGCCCTGTGGATTCATAATCTTGTTACTAATCTCAAAATCACGAGGCCCTTGGTGGCCCCTTTAGTGCATGTTAGGTGAACAGTACCGGACAAGATTCAACAATTTAACGAACACAGTTTTAGCTTCTTGCTCATCTTTACTACTGTTAGTACTATCCAATGATCCCTACAAAACAAACCATCAGTGTCCACCTTTTCCCCGATCCCTAGAGGTCCCACAATGAACTTCCCTTACCAACAACTAAGTTTGACCAATTTATAAATCATCAAACGAAAGCTAAATCAATCATCAAAGCTAACAACCATATATGGAGTTGTAATCACAGATGTTAATCAAATTAATTACTCACTTGTGCCATTTAGCCTCTACTTGGAAAATATATAAATTGTTTATAAAGAGGGTTAAGTCATGGGTCCCACTAAATGTGTGAACGAGATAATGAGTAGTAGTTATGAATGGGTTGTTGAAATTAATGTTTGACTTCGATTGAATATATAAACCACGTATAAATTTGTATCCAAACGGAGGCTTATTAATGAATTCTTTAGCCAGATGTCCTCAAGTCTACCAATTCTGGGGTGGCTTTCTATATACTGTCAACTTAAGGAATTTTCACATGGAAAATATAATTCAGAGGCAGTGATTTTGGAACAAAAGCAGCTAAGAGGTATTGCTTCTCACCTGTACGGACCATCCCCGATAAAAGCAATTCGTGCTTCCGGAAGCCTATCCATGACACTGTTCCAAATATCCATCACAGAGGTCAGTGGTAAATTTTACTATTATACTCAAGAGGGGACTTCCATGAACAAAGGTTCTGCACAGAATTAGAAATCAAATACCTTTTCAGGAATTCCAAACTCTTCTCAACTCCAAGCCGTCCTACATGGACTATCAATGGTCTCTCGGGTTCTCCATTGCTAACTCAGAAAAAAATTGTCAAGAAAAGTTGAAGTCAACTCCCAAAGTTGTGGAAATAGCACAGCAGAAGAGGTTCCTTACCTTAATCTTACTCGCATTTCATGGGATCGAAAACGGGGATGGAAGCTTTCAGAATCAACGCCTTTATTCCAGAGACGAATCCTGTTAGCTAAAAATATGAAAAGGAGATAAAAAATCATTTTCAACACCGCTCCATAGACATGCAAAATGCTATGACACACACTATATTCGAAATATGTAAAATAAAGTGAAATTCATTTGCATCTTTGGAAAAATTGATATCTTTGCATAAGAGAACATGGGGCCATATTAAATTGGTTCTAGGAACTAATCAATTGGGTTCGGTATTTAAGTTTCAATCTTCACCCGCTGTCACCCTAGCAGCTTCCAGATCCTTCCCAATTGCGGCAGAAGGCACTAGTGTAAGATCAGCAGCTCGATGAAGAAATTCTGGAGAAACATCATCAACATTCATGATGTTCCATTAAATCAAAATTTAAAACAAAATTATGGGATGAAAGAAAATCTCACATACTTATAACCATCCACATTGGTTGGACCAGCCAACTGAATGTGTATCTCGGTATGTATCTGCGTAATATGAATTGAGGAATCAGCTCAGATCTCATACTCATACATTTTACATAAGAGTAGAACCAAAATGAGCCAAGAGTACTCTCTTATCCCACTTTTTATGATAAAGTAACTGAATGTCAACTAAAGATAAAAGAAAATTAATTACTGATGAAATCAAAGAATTTGACTTACACGGGAACATGGGTGTGATATGACATCACTATTGGCACACACAGTAATTTTGCAATAATCAGTGCACCAAAGACCTGGAATACAAATAGAATATTAAGCACAGCAACATGGGGCTGGTTTTCCTTTCAGAAGATTTTTATGAAGAAATATGTACCATATTTGGCTAAGAGAGAAGTGACCAAAGAAGGTGATTAAAAACATACCATAATACCAGGAGAAGATGCATGTATAATGTCGGGCTTGAATTCAGCAACTGCTGAGATTATTCTTGGGCTGAGGGCCAGAGACAAGGGTACCTTTTGGTACCAGGGACATGGGAAGCTGCAAAGAGGTAAGATTATCAAAACAAGGTAGTGTACATGGACAATTAGACGAGAAATACAGGTTAATGCACTTGAGACCGCATGATTTGGACATCCATTCGTTTGGTTAATAATGAAAAACTTGTGATGTAATGTCATTACTCATCAGACAAGAAACCGCATGAACTAACCTTCGTGAGCCGATCAATTTTGCACCATAAAATTCTTCCGGAACTCCTTCATGTGTTGTCACAACCATCACCTGCATCCAACATCCAAACGTTACAACAGAAATTAACTGTGCAAAAAAAACCTGCAGAAAGTGCAGAAATGCACACTACAATTTAGCTACTATGTATATTATTTCACGTTAACATTCTCGTTATTTCAAGAAAAGGCATTCTCAAAATAATTCTTACGAACTAATTAATTAATAATGAAAAGATAGTTTCATATTCTCAATAGCGACTGCTAATAACTTATAAAAACATTAATTTCAGTTTTGGACAGTTACAAATATAAGGATAATTATATCTCTAGTTAATAGCAAGCAGTATCAATGAAAAAAAAAAGAAAAAAAAGAAAAAAGAGTACCTCATCCCCCATTTCACGCAGATATCTAATGAAATTCTGGAACCTGTTCTTATATCCGGAGACATAGCTGCATACATTTTGAAAAGAACATATAATCAATATAAAATACTTCTATCTAACCAGAGAAAACAATGAATGAAATCAGAGACAGTGAAAAGACATCTAGACAAAATATTCCAAGGAAGCAAACATGAAAAACATAGAAAGCACACATCTGAAGATAACTGATTAAGACCTGCAAGTCGAGTCATTATATAACAAGTTGAGTCATTATATAAAATAAAGATGATAGATGAGAGTTGCACAAATAGATTACTAGAATGACAAACAAAGCAAAGACACGAATTTAAAAAAAAATAAAAAATAAAAAAAATAAAAATAAAAATTATGGGTTTAGCAAGTTGTTTACTTGACCCTACAAGTGTTACAGCCTGCAAACGGATTAAACGAACGCATGCCGTATGTTTGTGTACCATAAAAATGAGCTATTACCAAGCTTGACAGTTGAACGTAGGTAAAAATCATGTAAATAACTTATTTTTAATTTACAGCATGCAGTAGGTACAAAGCAAAAGCAGAAACCCAATACATAATCAAGTCCCAAGCATCCAACTTGAAGAAAACTATAAAATTCTGATAGGAACCACCAGAGGATATATGAATAATTGTAGAAATGTATTGATGGTAAGATGAATTACAGAAATAAAGGAAATACAATCAGTCTTCCAAGAGGGCTGTACTCTCCGCAATATGGTTTTCACTCACTAATTTGCCTGCTATTCTCCTCCAACTCTTCCCTATTTATAAACTACTTGTAACTGATTTTTCCGCTCTAACAGACTAGTTTCCCACCCACTTGCAAGTTATTCTTCTTCTAGGTCCTTTTAGAATGCATGATGTTGATTGGAGCCTATCAATATCCTCGATTTCCAAATCCACCTTGTCCTCAAGGTGGGAGTCAAGAAAGTGTTTGTGGTGCCAACTGACTGCTCTTCCATGAGTCCAGTGGGGAAGGTTTTTGTCCATTTTGAAACTCATTTATTTGGAGGTGTAGTTAGCATGGTGTATTTAGGTCCACTTGGGTTTTGGACTGCTAAACTCACTTGATTTTTGTCTTCAGTTAGTTGGGTCATCTTCATGATAGAGCACAACCCACTAGGCAATAATAGATAGACTTCAACCTAGGTGTCTAATTTTAGCCCATTAACAAATGTACTCCTCAACATGTCTTCTAACTTATTGTATTTGGATGGAGTGCATTCTAATCAACCTCATGCATTCTAGAAGGACCTAGAAGAAGAATAACTTGCAAGTGGGTGGGAAACTAGTCTGTTAGAGAGTAAAAATGGGAGGAAAAATTAGTTACAAGTAGTTTATAAATGGGGAAGAGTTGGAGAAGAATAGCAGGCAAATTAGTGAGTGAAAACCGGAGAGTGCAGCCTTCTCGAAAGGTTGATTGTATTTCCTTTATTTTAGTAAATTCATCTTACTATCGATACATTTCTATAATTTATACAATTATTCATCTATCCTCTATTGGTTCCTATCAAAGTGGTATCATAGCAATTGAGACCTGGGAAAATGATTCTCAACGATTCAATAGAGTCCTTAGAAGGGAGAACTGACAACCTACAATTCGAGTTAGGTGCAATGAAAATTGAATTTCAGAGAGTAATGTCTAGAATGATGGAAAGGCTCGATTTGATGACAAGAAAAATGGATGGGCAGGAAACGAGAGAGGAAGGAAAAAGAGATGGTAGAGAACTCACTTGAGCTGATGATTACTGAAGCTCCTTTGCCGGTGAATCTGACTGGAAACACTAGGAAACTGGAAATCTCACTCAAAACAAACAAAGTAGGAGAAATTGTAGTTGGTTGAAAACCAATTGAAATCTTACCATCACCATTGCCGAAGGAGAAGATCAGAGATGGAGCTGAATCTGGAGAAGAGGAACGAATGGAAATTATTGGATTGGATGGATTTGGACTTTAGCAGGGAAGTCGGCCAATAGGTAGAAGACCAAAATGAATATTTAAAACAGGCCCAGTTAAGTTTTGGCTAACAAGAATCAAAACTAACTCTAGCAGCCCACCTATTATCTACATCCCACGTATTTTCCCTAGTTAGAACCCATCCAACAGCGTAGCTTCATTCGCGGGACATTCCAAAACCCGCGACTCAAACCCAGTCACCACCACACTACAATCTGCTATCATGACGAAGGTGACATCGTCGTTTAAGAGGCTGATGGGTGCCGAGCTTCATCTAAAGAGGGAGAAAGGGCTCGTCAAGATAGCAAATCTCATTGGAAATTTGTCGGCTATCTGCACCCCATCTGAATGCAATAAGTTAGAAGACATGTTAGGGAGTACATTTGTTAATGGGCTAAAATTAGACACCTGGGCTGAAGTTTGTCTATTATGACCCAGTGGGTTGGACTCTATCAAGAAGATGACCCAATCAATTGAAGATAAAAATCAAACGGGTTTAACAGCTCAAGATCCAAATGGACCCAAATACACCATGCTAACTACACCTCCAAATATGTGGGCTTCAAAAGGGACAAAAATCTTCCCTACCGAAATCATGGAAGAGCGGTCAATTGGCACCACAAGCACTTTCTTGACTCCCCCCTTCAGGACAAGATGGATTTGGAAATTGGTGGTATTGATAGGCTCCAATCAACCTCGTGCATTCTAGAAGGACCTAATCGAGGAATAACTTGCAAGTGGATGGGAAACTAATATGTTAGAGCGTACAAATGGGAGGAAAAATCAATTACAAGTAGTTTATAAATAGGGAAGAGTTGGAGGAGAATAGTAGGCAAATTAGTAGTGAAAAACCATATTGTGGAGAATACAGACCTCTCGAAAGGCTAATTGTATTTCTTTTATTTCTGTAATTCATCTTACCACCAATATATTTCTATAATTTCTACAATAATTCATCTATCCTCTAATGGTTCCTATCAAATTCTTACTAAGGAGTTAAATGAAAAAGATTCCCATGTTAGATATCAAACATGTGAAATATCATAGAAAATTAAAAATTATTTTCTAAATTATGTTTAATAGTAGCTTGATATCTACATAAAACATTATTGTCAAACTGTGGAGAAGCCAGCTAGCTATCGTAAAGAATAATGCTATCTCGTACCCATGCTGCCAGAACACGCATTATGTGATAGGTTTAATTAAATGTGAACTGGTGTAGTGTTGTAACACCAGAGATACTAAATAACATTACGAGAAAAATCTTTAAACTTAAGCTGATATGTATTATGAGCTAATATCAAGAAATTATTGTCCAAAATAACTTCTAATCAATTTCAAGACGGAAACAGCAGGCAGAAAGCATAAGTACAATTATATACTAATGAAAATTAATTAAAAGAATCGTGTTCATAGTGCAATTTGCACCAAAATCCTCCAATTGATACTCATATTCCCTCTCTCATTACGTGAAAATCAAATCAAAGACAATTAACTTCATATTTTAACTCGCAACAAGGTGCACTCATATAAAAAGAAATAAGCCAGCACTACCAAGAAAAAAAACTAAAAAAGATCAGACAATCGGTAAGAACACTATAAATGACCTTAAGCATGAAGCAGTTGCTTGATTAAGGGACTAGACAGTATAGTAAACAACATTTGAGCTTCTTTTCCTCCAATAATCCTGCTAACGAAACATGCCATAAATGTACAATTGAAAGCAGTAATAGATAGTCAAATCCAAGAATTAAAGACTCACGCGAAGGGAGAAGGCTCAACAAAGAGAGCAATCCTTCTAGGTCTAGAATTCATCTCAGATTCAAGGAAAGGAGGAGGGTTTACTTCTTCTTCCTCCTCTCTGCACTCTGTAATAGTCATGTTGTCTCTACTGGCAGCTACAATAAAGGGGCTTTCTCTAGATTTCAAGATTCTCAAACTTGTACTATTTTTGGGCAGATTACACTTAGGAAATTGAGTTCTTGAACAAATTACACATATGAGTTTCGTTGCTCTTGATGTACAAAAGCAAGAAAATTTACAACCAAAGGAGGAAGAAGAGGAACGAGATGAAGCAGATGTAGAAACTATAGCAGGAGAGACTGCATGATTTATAGAGAGAGAAGTGGACATCATGATGTAAAATATATGGTGTGGTGACTAGGAAGAAAGAACTTATTTGAGGGTCTTGAAAATTGATTATTGCAAGGGCCATGTAGAGTTGGAAGAGAGAGAGGGGGGGAATCTGAGGGGCCATTAGACTCTCCAATGGATATTCTTTTTATAGTCTTAACAGAGAGTGAGATTTGGGAATAATATGAAGATGTTCAGGGTATATGCTGCCTCCATTTTGAGGAGAAGAGCTCCATTATTTTACATGGCATTCAATCCTGTGGGCTCAGTCATTTTGATAATACAAAAATATTTTTTCGTATCTGCATTCACAACCACGGCTTTGAGGAAATTCATGTTTGTTTCTCTAATCCTTTTGTTTAGCCCATGTTTGCTTTTGATAATAGATCCTGCTTGAGAGGAATGTTTTACCCTGAAAAAATGATTTTTTGAACATTATTTCATTATTTCAGTCGTAATTTTTGACTTTTTCTCTCACAAGTGAACCCCACTTTTCTCCTAACGGTCAAAAAATCAATTCTCAAAATCCCTCCCAAATGGGCCCAAAATCAAAATTTAAGTAAATCTTTAATGAATAGTATAGTTGAAAAGTTATTAAAAGTTATAAATCCAATGAAATTTGTAATTAAAAATAAGTATGAAAAAATAAATTTTAAAAAATGGAGGTCAAATATGATTTTACTGAGAGTAAGCTCCGAGACTACAGGCAATTTCAAGTTGAGTCTCATTAAATTCTGTTATAATAGTGAACCCAAAATCGACACCAAGTACAGATTATAGACACAAGATCATAGCATCAAGATCTCATAGATTTTGGGCTCAGATCCACCTTGTACCCATCTGTACAAAGGATTAACTCACAAACTACAGCCCCTAAAACCCGACGCAGAAATGGTTGCTTCAATGGTCCGAAAGACTCTCCAAGAAGCCAACAGAAAACTCTTCACAACTCAAAACCGAAGAATCACCAAGATTCTACGCACACGGAACCATCAGAAAACCAAGGGTTTATTGATTAAATGGAGAGTTTCACCAAGAAAGAGAAGAGGCAGAGACACAAAGTCTCGAAGAGAAGAAACCCAAAAGATTCTACAGAAGACTCACGAAGAGGTGCAAGAATGTGACTAAAAATTAGGGCAAAAAAATCTCAAACCTTATATTTATATTAATAAGTCATCACCGTAGATGTTAGGTTTAGGAGATCAAACGGACTAGAGCAACACACTTGTATCAAAGGATTTTGGGCCGGGTCAAGAGTCCATCACAATGCGTTATTAGGCAAGGGTTTGGTAGTATCTGTTGGGTCATTTATTTTTATCATCATAGCCCAAATGGGCTGGTCCACCAAAAAATAATTTGGCATCACAGCCCAATAAATCTCCCCCTTGATGTCAATGATCAAAAAACACAAAACAAAGAAAATATAACAATAGACTTCTCAAGCAATTGATATAATTCATTTCAGATCATTAGCACCAAGCCATATACACCTGCACCAACACAAAAAATTTACCCAATATCAATTCTTAAAAGTTGCAAACATGACTTAAACTTATTTAGAGGAAGTACCTTAGTACCCATATCAGTGGGATTAAACTGAGTAGGGGTTTTCTCAAGCAAAATAGATTCCTTTTGTACAATATCTCTTATAAAATGCATTCTTACATCTATACGTTTAGTTCTTTCATGAAAAATTGAATTTTTACATAAATGTATGGCGCTTTGACTGTCCGAATATGGAACAACAGGATCAACAGATTCATTTACCTCATTCAGGAAACCTTTCAGCCATAAGACCTCTTTAATGGCCTCAGTTGCAGCCACATATTTAGCCTTTGTAGTTGATAAGGCTACAATAAATTGCAATTGGGACTTCCAACTAATACAAGTATCACTTAAAGTAAACATATATGCTGTAGTTGACTTCCTGTTATCTCTATCACTAGCATAATCAGAATCTACATATCCCTTTAATCTAACTCCCTCCTTATTAGGTCTAAAACGTAAGCCTAAGTCTACTGAACCTTTCAAGTACCTTAATAACCATTTCATTACACTTCAATGTTCGGGGTCAAGGTTGGACATAAATCTACTTAAGGTATTTATAGCATGTGCAACATCGGGTCGTATGCAAACCATGGTGTACATTACAGATCCAACAACATTTGAATATGGTACTTTTTTCATATATTTAATGTCAGATTCATCATGTGGGCACTGATCTTTACTCAACTTAATATGACATGCAAGGGGTAATGTCACAGATCTAGAATCATGCATAGCAAATTTGGATAGGACATTTTTCACATAATCAGTTTGTGACAAAAATAATAACTGTTGTGACTTATTCCTCTTAATATCCATCCCTAAAATCCTTTTAGCATGTCCTAGATCCTTCATTTCAAATTCAGCAGTTAGAACCTTTTTAATCTCATTTATATCATTCATTTTCTGGCCAATTAACAACATATCATTCACATATAACAGCAAATAAACATCAAATAGTTGTTGTTATCCTTTTTAAAATACAAAAAATTGGCAAAGGAACTTCTCACAGCCAACTAAAGACACAAAGTTATCAAAACGTGTGTACCATTATCTAGGAGATTGTTTTAGGCCATAAAGAGATCTTTTTAACAAGCATACATGATCACATTTTTTGTTATCACTAAAACCTTGTGGCTGTCTCATATATATGGTTTCATCAAGGTCACCATGCAAGAACGCAGTTTTAACATCCATTTGCTCTAATTCATAATCATATTGTGCAACTAATGCAAGTATGACTCTAATGGTAGTATTTATTACAACGGGAGAAAATATTTCATTGTAATCTATGCCAGGTTTTTGGGTAAACCCCTTAGCTACTAATATGGCTTTAAGTCTAAGAGGCTGATTAAGGGGATTGCCTTTTTTTATCGCATAAACCCACTTACAGTCAACTAAAGATTTATTTTCAGGTTTAAGCACTAAGTTCCAGGTCTTATTTTTCACTAAAGACCTCATTTCTTCCTCCATAGCAAGCTGTCATTCCTTAGAAAACTGACAACTAATGACTTCTTCATGGATTTAGGCTCCTTAAAGGTTAATTCTTGATAAGACAACATAGCGAGAGACATATAGTCTTGCATCCTAATAGGCTCTCTTATTTCTCTTATAACCCTATCTCTAGCTAACTGATAATCACTTAAAGGGTTCACTAATTCACCAGTAGGCACTTAAACAGTTTCATTTCCTGATTCTTCCACAATTTCATTTTCATCTTGATTTTTAACAACATGATTAAGCGAATGTTCAAGTTCCACCTGCAGCCTAATATTTTCTTCTTCCTAACCCTTTGACACCTCTCTGGAGGCCTCTTTACTTAAGCAAGGCATCTCATTTTCATCGAAGGCCACATTCCTACTGGTTATCATCTTAAAACCCCCAATTTTTCTCACCCAAAGCTGTACCCTTTCACTCCTTCAGGATATCCAATGAAAACACATTTTTGGGACCTAGGCTCAAGTTTTCCTACACTTTGGTGTGAATATGCTGCATAACCAAAGGTTTTTAAGTGTGTATAGTCAATCAACCTACCTGTCCACACTTCCTCAGGTGTTTTATCATCTAATGCACTAGTTGGGGTCCTATTTATGACGTAAACTGTTGTCATAACAGCCTCTCCCACAACACTTTAGGGACACTTGAACTGAACATCATACACCTAACCTTATCTAGTATTGTCCTATTCATCCTCTCAACTATAC